TTCAGTTGAAGCACTTGAACTAGTTATCCTTTGTCAGAGTCAGCAATTCCCTTGTCTCAGACTTGATCAATATCTATGGGTGGATGCAAAAACAATAAGAGTGAGCTTAAAGCTCAATAGCCGACCATGATAAAAATCTCGGGTACAAATGTGAGGGAAAAAAAGAAAAGAAATGATGATGGAGACAATCGAAATTGAAACTAATGGATATCAGTAATAACTATCTATCAAAGCTTGTACATAATCGTCGATAGAAGTCGATAGAAATGAAACTTGTGAATATCAATAATGAATAATCAAGATCTAATATTCAAGATTTTAAATTCTCCAAGCACGAGATATGTTAATAAACCACGCATGTCTTCATTTATGTTCCTACTGGTGAGCATCCTCACACAGGGCAACATCCCCTAGGACTTGCTTCCATTTACCACCTACTGTGAAGTTTACTTCACACAGAGCATTAATCCATGCAGTGTTTTAAAGGCAATGCGTCTTAGCACCTCAGGCGCTCAGGCAAGGCGATCTTCTAACTTAGCGCCTTGCACATTGACAGGTGATGAAGGTTACTAAGGTAAGTACCTTTTGGTGCCTAAAAAGCTCACCTTAGCACCTCATGACCTTGCCTTGGCGCCTCAGGCGCTTTGCTCACCTAGCATGTGATGGAAGATAGGGTGTTTGTCTCTGGTTCAGAATTGAGGGTGTGAAAGGTTTTCGATAAAATGAAGTTTAGTTTGTTTTTGTTATTGAATTTGTGTTACTCTTTTCTCGGTCAATTTTTTTAATCTTTTTTAGTCATAATGTACTTTATTACCTTTATCATTTTGAGGACATACCATAATTTAAACCTTAAAGTTTAAAATTTGCTGCTTAATAATCTGTGTTAGCAATACTAGTTAATATTACTATTTAGTATTTGTTAATTTACTTACTATTTCGTATAGATGGTTTATAAATTATTAGATTTGTGACTTGGAAACTTGGCACTGATTAATTTGTCTTGTTGCTATTTATTGATATTTTATATTATTTATAATGTTTATGAATTTGTTAAATATTTATCGCCCTGGTTCACTCAGGTGATCGTCTTTTTTGACACCCCTCACTTCAGGAAACATAGGGTATCATCACCTTAACCTCGCCTTTTGCTTTTAAAACACCGAATCCATGAATATATAGTATCAACAAGCCAACAAATAAATGAATGCTACCATTCCTTATGTAATATCTCAAATCTTTTCCATTTTGATAATCTGAAACCTATACCGGCCCTGGTGTCAACAATTCCGATGCACATAACTCAATAGCATGAGAATATTAGTTTGACCATGTCTTCATTAAGGTCATTAATTAAGTCATAATATTCATAATAATATTAGCATGAAAACCCTAAGTACGTAAGTCTTAAACCTAATTTAGAGCTACTCCAAAGTTACAAAACCTTTTCTTTGGACTCTATAATTTCTTTTTTTTTAACTATGGCAACCATAAGAGGAGTATTTGTGCACATAAACCCCTCTCTTTATCAAATTCATGATTCCCTAAAACATATGGGTTTCAGTATATAAACACTTAACCTTACACCATTTGCTCATTTCCTCTTTTGTTCAAAACTCCACCATAACTCGTTAAACACAACAATAGAGTCATCGAGGCAAGACAACTTATCATAATATAACTATTCATGGAATGTCAATGGCATCGTACCGAAATGAATAAACGATGGTATATCAATAGATAAGCAATCAGCAACATCCCGCTCATGAAGTAACTCAAATAGGCTTTTACAGAGGCAATAGGGTATACAACTGAATATCGAAATTGAACTCGTAGAATTTTTATGAACTTAACAAGCGAACTCTCAATTAATTGAGAGGGAGCAAGGAAGGGTTCTCTACCATTTGAGACAAAATCCTCGGTTCGCTGATTGGTTCCAAGGGGGTCGTTCCTACACATATGCACGTGCTTATGAACGGACAGGGTTTTATGTTAATGGTTATATTATGATAAGTTCTCTACCCTTTACGACTAGGTTCAAAACTATAAGAATTGAGCAGGTATAGAGTCGTCGAGGCAAGACAACAATAGAGTTCTGAACCTGTATACTGAAAGTTTTGAACCTGTATAGATTCATGTATATCTATGTTCAGCAAACATAAAACCTGATCGTTCCAAATGGTTCTCTACCTTTTACGACTAGGTTTTATGTTTGCTTAACATAGATATACATGAATCTATATGTGATGCATGCTCATGAACGGACAGCGATGCAGCAACTATATAGAAGATTGTAATAACGTAAAGGGAATCAAATGTTGTCCAAAATGTATGAGTTTAGTTTCAAAATCTTCCTATATGAATTTAGTTTTCAGGACATCAAATTTCTCATCATATCCATATCCAGTGGGTAGTTTGTACCCAGAAGTGTGTGATATGCACAGACTAGAAGTATAGATGGCGTTGAAAGATATATATGGCTGATTGAGGGTCCAAACGATGTCCAAAATAAGTGAAACAAGTGCTAAAGTGCTTGAAAACAGTCTAGTTTTCAGAGCATCAAAGGGTTTGGGAATGCGCATTTATGGGGATATGGCCTTAGAAGGAAGGTGCATCAGCATGAAACAGCATACAGATTCCAGCTCTCTTGTACAAAGTCTCTCATTAGTTTTGTTCAACCAAAAATTATTAAAACTTGATATAATTTTTACTGACAGAAACTAGATGACTCTATTACAGAAAACAAAAGTATTTTCTATTTAATTCAAACCAAGGGCAAAGTTATATGCAAAACTATATACAAGGGTCATATTGTTTATCCAGTGTACACGCATAGACTTCAACCATAAATTTGAGCCACCAAACAATATTAAAAATGAGTCTAGCCACCTCCAAATGATAGGTAATTGAGTCTAGTGTCTAGAACATAAAATGTTTCTAAAATTGGACATGTATACTGAAAGTTATGGTCAATATACCCACAGGGTGTTTTGGTGGAAAAATTTCTGCTCGAAAATGTGATTCAAGTACCGACATGCAAGCTATACATTTACCAAACTAGAGCAACTCCACCAATTGAACATAGGAGGACTAAAAACAACCAAGGATCATATTTTCCATGTCCACAAGCACAACGATCACAATTTTATCACTTTCTAGTGACATGCATGAACCAAAAAATCCATCTCACCCTACATGCAAGCATAAATCCCATCAATCATGAGCATGCATGACTGAATGAGCTCTAGGACAATAAAAGTTCAGTCTAATATTAAGAGAATCAAGAAAAATGGAGACTTGGTTGAGATAGCGCCTAGAAGAGAAGATGGACTTCAACTTTGTTCTCCGAAACCTTATTTTACTCCTTTTTTTTCTTCTTCTAGACTTGAGAGCAAGAAGGCTTGAGAGATGTTTTAATGCTGGAATAATGGAAGAAAGAGGGGAAATGACGCTGGAGTGTGGCCAGCCAAAGGGGATAGAGAAGAGAGGGAGTTATGGTGGAGTTTTCGAACAAAAGAGGAAATGAGCAACTGTTGTAAGGTTGACGGTTTATATAGTGAAACCCATGTGACTTAGGGAATCATGAAATTTGATGAAGAGAGAGGTTTATATGCAAAAATACTCTTCTCTTCTTATGGCTGTCATAATTGAATAAAATAGGAATTATGTCCAAAGAAAAGGGTTCTGTCATTTTGAATGGCTGTCATAATTGAATAAAATAGGAATTATGTCCAAAGAAAAGGGTTCTGTCATTTTGAATAAGCTCTAAACAAGACTTAAGACTTGGGTACTTGGGTTTTCATTCTAATGTTATCATGAATATTATGAATTGATTAATAACCTTAATGAAGACACGATCAAACTAATATTCTCATGCTATTGGGTTATATGCATCAAAATTGCCGATACTAGGGCCGGTACTGATAATGGTATCGAATTATCAAAACAAAAAAGATTTGAGATATTACAATTTTGCTCGTAGATTTGGATGCCTGATACTTACATTGTGCAACTTCAGGCCATACTCTAGTCAGCGATAACATTTCAGTCTGAAATGATTTGTTGAAGAACCAATGCTGATTTTATTCATGGGATGCTGGACTTCAGGAGTATCAACCATGAGCAAAAGCATGGAGAGAGAGAGAGAGAGTTAACTTTCCCTGCTGTTGGTTTTGATTTTGATTTTTTATATGATTTTATTTCTTCTTGGGAAAAAGAGTTGGCTTAAGGTAATATAAGAAGTAAGTTTGATTTGATTCCTCGTGATTTTATGATGTTTTTCCTGGAAGAATGCTTGGTCTGGACTTAAATCACTCTGTTGCTGCTTGTTTGTTGCGTGGGGTATCAACTTGATTTTTATTTCTTTTTTTGATCGGTTGGATTTCTCAATTTGAGTCCAAAGAGATGAATCCAACTGTTCATAGCGTACCATGAGGGCTTAGAAGCTCATGACTGTTATCCCCAAAAAGATAGAATACAGTGAAGAGGTTAACCATCAAGTTTCATCTATAGATTTCCTTTATTATATTCTTTCTCTACAGCAGTCCAACTTTTGGTACTTTTATCCCCGAAAAGTGAAAAGTCATGTATCACGTAGTCATGGCTTAAGTATTGACACTTATATACCAAAGAACAAAAGAAATTTCGCCAATATTTCTGATTTATGGTTACCACTGATTGTTTGTGGGCATAGCAACCTGCATGCTCTAAATTCAATCTGATATGTATCAGTATCTGATGTTTATTTAAAAAAATAGCCATCAGTTTATGCGATTAATAACCACTGATAAAGAATAATGTTTTTTCGTCTCTATTGTTTAAATTACATCTATATGTTAGGATAATGGTCTGCTATATAAAGGTCATTATCGCTACTCCTTTGATTTGAATGAAGTCCATTTCCACGTCTTTTCTCCACCTTGTTGAGTTGCTTACAGTTTCTTAGAATGCATTGATTCTGTTGAGTACTTAAATACTGAAGATTTTGTGGTGATTCTCTACAGAGTTGAAGCCTCCGATGCACCTGATGCTGTTGCTCAGTCTGCGTAAGCTTAAAAATTTTTAGGATTCCTCTTATGGTGTAGTTGCAATACACAAGGAGGAAATTATATTTTCTTTTCCGAATCTGCAAGTTTTTTTGTTTGATGGAACAGTCCGATTTTCTTGCTGATTTTGTTGACTCGATAAATATAATTTAAAATTTTGAATGTAATATTGCCATCAATTTCATAAGTTGAAGAATGCTGTATTCTCATTTTGTATCTTTTTTCCTAATAATTTGTCAAGTGAAATATTTTGATGTTACATTATTCTTTTGCCCTGTAGTGTTATGGAATTTTGAGATATTTATAATTATGAAACCTGTCTCACCGCAACTGCAGTTCCTGTTCTCAAGTTGTTGACATGGTCTTGTTTGTGGACTCTTGATCATGACGTCATCAACATAACACTCCACTGTCTTGCATAGATGCTCATGAAAAATCGTGTTTATTGCCCATTAATAAGTTGCTCCAGCAATTTTCAGACCAAAGGGTATTACTGTATAACAAAATACTCTCAAGGGTATCATAAAAGATGTGTACTTTTTATCATCTGGATGGATCTTGATTTGGTTATACCTAACATACCCATCCATGAACGACATCCTTTCAAACCCACATATATTGTTAACCATGACGTCTGAGATAGGGAGAGAGAATTCATCATTTGGGCAAGCAAGATTAAGATCCCTAAAGTAAATACATATTTGGATTTTTTTATTCTTTTTTGTTACCACAATGATGTTGACCAATCAATCTGGATGTTGTTCTTCACGGATAAGCCCACATTCCATGAGTTTATGGATTTCTTTCTCGACCTGTTACATCAACTAGGGATGGAAGTGTTATTGTTGTTGCTTGACCAGCTTAGCAATGGGGTTAATGTTAAGGTGATGTATGGCCACATTAGGATCTAATCCAGGCATCTCTTCATAATTTTAGGCAAAAACGTTAATATACTCTCAAAGAAGAGTTATGTGTTCTTCTTTCTCAGCAAGTGATAAACTCTCGCTGATGAAGATGGGTTTAGGATTGGCTTCGTTGTCTATATTGACTTAGATCACTTTATCTTTAATGAGTGATTTTGGGTTTATGAATGGCTTCGTTGTCTATATTGACTTAGATCACTTTATCTTTAATGGGTGATTTTGGGTTTAGGACGGGCTTCGTTGTCTATATTGACTTAGATCACTTTATCTTTGATGGGTGATTCACTGATTTCAAAGCGTGCTCCTACTATTTTCCAAGATGTATCGCCCAAGAACCATCTTCAAGAACTTCAAATACTTCAGTTGCATCAAGATCCATGGTTAACTTGTACAAAACCATGCTAATTGTGAATTCGCTGAATATAGCTCAAATGCTTTGTCAGAATCCCAGCTAGATGTGTCTGAAGAGCTACTCAGGAAATCATCAGATATTGATCCTATTTGCGAATCGACTTCAAGATAAATACAAGGGAGTCCACATTTAGTTCGATTGTAATAATCGAAAGCCTCCCTTCTGGTACAAAGGTGATAAGAGGAACTCTTGGTCCTTGATTGAAGTTCAATCCTGATTTTAGATTGAAGTCATGCCTCATTTTTGTCATTATATGCTGAGATTGTTGGCTGTAGCGAGAGAATTCTGGAACTCCTTTAGCTTCTTCATCCGAACTTGATGAGTGTGGTCGCGACTCGACCTTTCCAAAAACAATAGGATTTCTGGTGCCTCCTTTGGCTTGGACCGTGAAGGTAGCATTCTCTGAGTTACATAACTATTGATGAGTCGAGTTCATCTATATGCATGTGTAAGGTTGGTTCTGAAGCTAGCCTAGACATCAGAGTTTTGACTCTTGAGTTTTCATACTAAAGAGCAGTTATCATTAAACTCGACTTTATTAAAAATCTAGTCGCCCTAGTCTTTGGCTAAATGGTCGACACATGGATCCTTGAGGGTAATTACAAGTGGTTCCATTTCCCAGATCAGATCGTCGTTGGGATCAGACTCATTGTTCGCTTCATGATTGCTATCTTCATCATTGGAAAGATTAATCTTAACTGTATAATTTTTATCATACAAGAGAGAGTCGGTAAAGTAATTCTCACCCCCTTGAAGGGATGCTTTTAAGCATCAACCTTTTGTTGAACATCATGCTCATCAATGTACTTGAAGCACTGATGAAATATTGATGGGACGATCATGTTACAAGGGATCCACGGTCGTCTGAGGAAAAGGTTGTAAAGTACGACATCAATGACATAACAGGTCAGTTCCATCTTTAAATTGCCAATCTGATATTTAAGTGGATCTTTTCAAAAGATCGGCTATTGCTAGAGTTGAAGTCGACGATGGTGGCGGCAGTCCTTGAGGGCTTATGAAAGGGAATACCTAGAAAGCTCAAGAGTCTCCGCAAGATTATGCTCAAACCAGAGTCTGGGTCGATGTGAATCCTCTGGACCTTTGCCGATCTCACATGCCCAGTATAGTAAAGAGGTCGGTTGTGATAGTGGTCCTTGATGAGCTTGTTATCTGGAGTGAAGGTAATACAAGGCGCCTGCCTGTTAGCACTAATAGCACTGTTTGTGTTCTTCGTCTTGAGGAGGCTCGACCATGTGGGTGAAGAATGTCTCATTATCATCCTGAGCTTCTTTCAAAGTCCCTAGTTTCGTTAGACAAATGCAGAAGTTCGAATAAGGTTATATGAACTGGGATATTGTCTAACTGGGCCGTAATATCGTCCTGGAATGGGGCTTTTAGAATCATCCGAGTGATGCCACAATGCCTTGTTGAACTGGGTTTCTATTTGCTTGGTCGCTTCGGCTTGCTTAAAGGGTCTTGGCTGATCATAGTTCTTCAAACAGTTTTAGTCGGACCTTGTCCCCTCCATGACAATTTTTTCTTCTTCTGAGTCTGTGAGCGACTCGTAGAGATTCTTCCCCTAAGATTGCGGAGATTCTTCTTGCCCTTGCCCTTTGACTTGGACTTTGGAAGAGTTCAACGTTCATCTTCGAGAAGGTTGGGATATACCTGCATCATTTTCCCTCTTTTTGTAGTAAAAGGGACTAAGATTTTTCTTTGTCAGTTTTGCTAGTCATGATTGACCACTTCCGTCCTTACAGTATGAATGAGAACAACTCCGTCTTATGCCTAAATTTTCGACATGGAGCCGAATTGCAGGGTCATCATGTTCGCAGTGACTTTCTTTTGCTCAGGCTTGAACTTGAGGATTTTGGACTCAACAAAGGTCTATATTTTATCCTTATAGATGTAGCGATTCTTTGTCAAGTGTCCCAATATTCTATGGTAAAGAAAACATTTGGGATCATCAGTCTTCTCGATTTCTTCGGGGCATTAGGCTTCAGAAAGCTTTAGTCGATTACCCTTATTGAGGACATGGAAGATAGCCACTGTATGCTCGTCCTTGAAGGAATAGTTGCGCTGAGCGTTCTTCCTTGGTTCCCTCTTCTAGTTGTCAGGCTTCTTGACCTCGACATAAGTCTCTTTGGCTTTCAGTTGGGAGGACCATCTTTGTTTGCCTTTGTTACCCTTGAAGTTGGTCTAGGTCTAGAACTTATTGAAGTGTTCTGATGATTTTTCTACTATTTCAACTTGCTCCATTAAGCCCTTCCACGTGTAGGCCATGACAGCACCCATATGAGTTTCTATATGACCCACAAAATCATGCAGATAAGTTTAGGGTAGCATCGACTAAGGCATATATCGACATCGCAGTGTTAGATTACAAAATTGCTCGATGAACTCCCTGATTGTCTCATTTCCTCTTTGCTTTTTAGAGAAGAGTTTGAGCATGGTAAAATCTGATTGTTCCTCATGGAATTGTGAGAGGAACTTAGCTTCCACATCAACCCAGAACTTGATTGACCATTCAGGCAGATTCTAAAACTAATTGAAGGCTACTCCCTGAAGGGTGTAAATAAAAAGTCATGCCTTGATGGCTTCATTTCCTACTACATTCCCTATTTGTTGGTGGAAGTAGCAGATGTGCTAGTTCAGATAACCTTTGCCAACGAAAATGTGCTATGTCGATGGCTTAAACTTAATTGGATAGGGAACCATGTCCACTCGATGGGATAAGGTCAGGTGATTCCAACCTTCTTTAACTCAGTTCGTTGAGAAAGAGCATTAAGCTAGTTTTAGAGGTCCTTGAGGACATTTGAGGCACTAATGTTTCTAATTTTAAGTGATCAGAGTCTGCGTCTCTCAATGCGTTTGTTCTTCTCCTAGGGAGAATTTAATAATTTGTCACTTCCCCTTCAAAGAACTCGAATGAGGCTGAGAAGTTGTTATGAGCTG